GATGGATATGGATACTTTATTCATCCCAAGTGTAGGATTTTCTGGGGGAAATATTAACACAGTGTGTGCCGTCCAGCTAACCAATCAGAGCAGACTGGGCTCTGGTTTCAGACAGAGGGTGAAAAGAGGTGCAGCAGTAGAGACACTAAATACAAATATGAACCTGGACATGAGCATAACATGTCCTCTTTAAAGGTTGGATGCATGATCTGCATTCTCATCCTCTTGCTGCAATTTTGTGCTGAATCACAGGGGCAGAAACACGAGAGGAGATGCCTCTTCATCCCTCCACTCGTCTTCATTTGAGTCTTTTGTCTGGTCCAGGTTTCATCACGTCTAGTTAATCATATTTTCCTTCATCACCTCTACTCTTTCATCGCTTTAAATGATAATGAGAGGTGTCTGAGAGGAGGCTGCGTTCAGAATACAAATGAACGTGTCTGCAGTGCCTCGCTCTCGCCCTCCATATCGATCTGCGAGGTATGACATGAATCCTGATGTGTCCTGTTATAGATTCCTCCTGACTCTCCTTCTAAATTGACAAATATGATGCCCAATATGACCAGACTGCTGGAAGTCACCTTATGTATCAATTAAGGTTTCTACATTTCAACATTTTTTGACATAAAGAGTATTTCAAGGTTAAGATTTTGGTGTCTTATATGGTGCATTGACATTTTTCTTTTTATAGAAAAACCTGTAATAATTCAGTCAGTAAAACATTGAGAACTTTATGTGCAAATGTACCTTTTCTGAAGCCTAAACATGGTAGAAAATCTTATAAAAGATGACCATGGATGATATTTATTTAGACAATTCGCATCATCTATCAAAAAATTAGCTGAAACAGTAAGTATGTATTGTTTCTACTAAATCTTAAACACATGTTATGTCATTCTTTCCTTACATACCTACTTACTTACACCTACTGTAAGCGCTTAAAACTGCACTCATTATTATATGTATTTAAAAATTGATCAAATTACAAAATGTAGTTTGAACGGAGGCTGCTTGTCGTGACAAACCCAGAGATAATTATCACCTAGTCCCCATTCAGCTCTTCTACCATCTCTTAGCTTATATGTCTGGTTTTTGGACGAATTTCTACTATTTTGATTAAGTCTAACCGCTCTACAGGGTTCTTACGGTCATTAAAAACCTGGAAAAGTCATGGAAATTCAAAATGCAAATTCCAGGTCCTGGAAAAGTTATGGAAAACAACATTTTTCCCAAAGTTTTGGAAAAGTCATGGAAATGTAACTAAAGTTGCATCAAATATAATTTATATTTTAGCTAATCGCCGAAATAGTAATACTATAATGATAATACATACTGTATCGTATAGTAATGAAACGTAAAATGGCATTTAACTGTCGAGGTGTTTTGCTGGTGAGAGATTTGAGTTGCTTTAGCGTGTAGAAGCTAGTAAGCCTATTTGTTTTAGATAGGCACAACATGTTTCATATGCAGACCTTATTTTCCTGTCCATGTTAAAATAAACCATTTTCAGTGGTACCGCTGAGAAAGAATCATTTTTTTGGCCATGGAAAATTAGGTAAAGGTCATGGAGAAGTCATTGAAAATCATTGGTGAAAAAGTGTATGAACCCTGGCTCTAATTTGTGTTCTTTTTTCAATAAAACTGTAATGCTAGCTGCCAAGCACCAAACAGCCAACACATGATATAAGCATTTAGTATTTGGCAAGCTGATCGAGCTGAAAGGATGGCACATATTGGACTAACATTCATCAGGTGGATAGGACTCTAAATGAATGCTAATGTTCTTTGTTTTTGCACAACAAGTAAACATGTTATTTAATCTCATTAGCCATAATATATGATACCACCATAGGAAGATGTCAATGTTGCATTCAAAGCATGAGGGTCAAAATAATTGATGATACAGCTGTTAGTGCTACAAACTACCATGGATAAGGGGCCGTATGGGTATCAGTTAAAGGCATAGAAGACGGAGATATAAACCGTGTCTCCCCCCTTATCGTGACAATGTAAGAACACTGGCTAATAATGGACAAGCTAACAGCATTAGCTCGGAGTCACACAGAATATCTGGAGTGTAGTTTAATGTGCTTTTCGGAAACATGAATGCACCAGGATATATTTGACAACACATTTTCATCGATGCTATCTGGACTGTTCGGGCGTTTCCATCAAAAACATTTCCGTCAACAAGGTTTTCTTTTGATGGCTTCCGGACAGTTTGGGTCGAAAAGGATTGCACTAAGACTTTCACCATGTCTTCATCATGTCTTCATCATGAACCTGAGTCTCCATCATGTCTTCATCATGAACCTGAGTCTCCATCATGTCTTCATCATGAACCTGAGTCTCCATCATGTCTTCATCATGAACCTGAGTCTCCATCATGTCTTCATCATGAACCTGAGTCTTCATCATGTCTTCATCATGAACCTGAGTCTTCATCATGTCTTCATCATGAACCTGAGTCCATCATGTCTTCATCATGAGTCTGAGTCTCCATCATGTCTTCATCATGAACCTGAGTCTCCATCATGTCTTCATCATGAACCTGAGTCTCCATCATGTCTTCATCATGAGTCTGAGTCTTCATCATGTCTTCATCATGAGTCTGAGTCTTCATCATGTCTTCATCATGAGTCTGAGTCTTCATCATGTCTTCATCATGAACCTGAGTCTCCATCATGTCTTCATCATGAGCCTGAGTCTTCATCATGAGCCTAAGTCTTCATCCTGTCTTCATCATGAGCCTGAGTCTTCATCCTGTCTTCATCATTAGCCTGAGTCTTCATCCTGTCTTCATCATGAGCCTGAGTCTTCATCATTAGCCTGAGTCTTCATCCTGTCTTCATCATTAGCCTGAGTCTTCATCCTGTCTTCATCATTAGCCTGAGTCTTCATCCTGTCTTCATGTCTTCATCATGAGCCTGAGTCTTCATGATTAGCCTGAGTCTTCATCCTGTCTTCATGTCTTCATCATGAGCCTGAGTCTTCATCCTGTCTTCATCATGAGCCTGAGTCTTCATCATTAGCCTGAGTCTTCATCCTGTCTTCATGTCTTCATCATGAGCCTGAGTCTTCATCATGAGCCTGAGTCTTCATCATGTCTGATTGATTGGTTGATGATCAGAGCAGGTACAAAACAAGAAAGTTTGAAGTTAGGTATCCAGATTTCTGCCTGAAACCCATTCCACCAATTTGTTCTCTACTAAGGAATAGTCTCAATGAAAGTCTTTGTGAGGCCCTGTGGGAGGAGAGGCTTCAGGCGAACATCAGAGCGGACATATCTCCTCGGGATTTGTTCTACCAGCCTCATTCTTGTCTGTTTTTTACGGTTGCATCAGAGTGTTGAAACTATTGCAAGTAGATAGCAGCCTCTTAGGGGAAGACAGGAGCAGATTGTTAGTGCAAACTCTGGATCATTTTAAAGGCCATTCTTATCCAGATTAGACCCAAACTATTTAACATATTAGCGTCAGTCAGTATTCACTCCTCACAGTTATCACGTCCTCCACTGAAACACAAGATGTCATCACACATGAATTACTGTGATTTGTCACTCGTTCCTTCATTCAGTCGAATTTCCATTCATTTTGATGGAACTGTGTCCCAGAAGTCGATACTTTTATATTTTTTTAATACAGCGTTACAAACTCCATCCTCTTGTGTAATGAATAATGGTGGAAAATATCATTTAGCATTACAGCCATTTTTCCCCAGCTCTAATTGTCCTTGGAAAGCAGTGATCGCTACGCGCTATAACAGAAATCGCTCCCCATTCATCAGCAGGCATAATAAGCTTTGTTATGCTAACAATGCTCCCTCTTCTCTGTCAAGGACAATGCAATAGTTCGGGGGTATTTTAGAACATGTTGCACAGATGAGGGAGGCTAGTTCTGCACTCAAACTGAGGGAGAACTGCATAAATATGAAGAGTTTCTGTATATTTTTAAGGGTAAAAGTCCAGTCTGTATGGAAATAAATCTTTCAACACATCTACTTCTTATGTCTGTATCTGAGAGTCTTCATAACACCATGAATACTAATAAAATATCACTTCTCTTCCAATAAGACTTGAACATCTTGGATTTGGACATGAATTCTCGATATAGCCGCAAGACATTTACTTGTTGATGCTTCTTGACTTTTATTCAAGATTCAAGGCTTTTATTGTCAATGGTACAACGCTATAGTGTAGTTACAGGGTGTCCGCGGGGTCTTAAAAAGTATTAAAAGTTGATGAATCAATTTAGCGAAAATTAAGGCTATTAAAAAGTATTAAACGGCATTTTCCAAGGTATTACATTTTCTAGCTTGTTTTCAATAAGTATATAAATTGTCCAAAGAGGTTGTATTCTACAGTCTGCCTGAATGTAATCATTGCGTAGGTGTGTAGTGTGATTCTGTGTAGTTTATTTATGGCATCCCGTTGGATGTGACGTCATCTGAACAGGACATCGCACGCTCACTGCTTGATAGCGTGCGAAGGTCCGTTTACGCCGGTTGTTAAACAACATCGTTACGGGGAAATGCAAGTTTGCGTCCAAATGGTTGGAAGATAAGGAGGAAGGACAATCAATACTGTATATAGTAAATGTGAGGTAAAGTGTGTCGCCAATGTAACCGGTTAAAACTCAAAGTGGCGATGAGGTCTTAAAATGTATGGAAAGGGTCTTAAAAAAGGTCTTAAAAGGTCTTACATTTGACTTCAGGATTCCTGCATATACCCTGAGTTATGACAATGAACATCTTAAGTCACAGGCTCCTCCATCAGTGCAACACAATAAAACAGATAATAGTCCAAGTAAATAAAATAGAATATAATAGAAATAGTGCAGAATAGTCTATATACAAGTCATTGGAATATTGATAAGTTGCAAACAGATGAATGTTGTGGATGTTCTTTCAAAAGTTCAGGTGTTTAACAGTCTTATGGCCTGTGGGATGAAGCTGTCCCTCATTTGTTTTGACGGATGTGTGTTTCTGACGGTTTTCCACAGGAGCTGGATCAGCAGTTTGAGAAGGAGCGCCTCTGTCTGGAGGAGCAGAAGACGACGCTCCGCCAGCAGCTGGACGAGCTGAGGGAGGAGCTCACCTCCAAACTCAACGCCGCCAACGACGAGGTAGGACGTCTGAAACATTACATATGTACTTTCCTTAAGTGTACATAAATGTCAGATCATTAAGAGCTTTAAAGGTCACCTATTATGCAAAATCCACTTGTTCATGTCTTTATACATCAGCATGTGTCCCCTCTGTGGAAAGAGACTCTGAACGTTTCAGGAACAAAGATTCTCTCTCTTTTTGTCCTGATCCATTTATATAAAAACCTGTCTGAAAATGAGCTGATCAGATTTTGGCCACTTTATGATGTCATAACGATTTTTTGGCTTGAGTAACCATTAGCCAATCACCAACCAAGGTAACCCCCCCACCTTATAACCTGAGTCTCCTCCTAGAGCACCATTAGGCGCGTTCACACCGGAGTACTTTTCCCCGTACTTTTCCCATTTAGTTCCGTTAGTACCTCTTATTTTGCGTTCACACCAAAAAGAGTACTTAGTGCCGGGAACTTTTACCCCCATTTTTAGTGCCTGCTGAGAGATGGTACTTTTCTGGGGAGAAAAAAGTACCAATTTCTATTGGCTGGGCGAATTGCAAACCACGCCCCGAAAAACTCTTATTTCTGATGAATAAAGTCATTTTTTGATCTTGCAGACTGCATATATGATGGATATAGTAGTTTTTGTGGAACTTTGTATGACCTTTATCCTTACATTTCAGCATCCTTTTTATGATTTCACTCTAATTTTCCGGAACATTTGAATAAATATTGAATGGAATTTACCTCTTGAAGCATAAGATAGACAGTATTACCCAGTCATACCAGCGGAAAATGTATAAGGCTCACTTCCACATTTCTTTTAGGACAACTTGAAATGTGGAAAATATACTTTATAAACCCACATTTAGTCCAGAAGTTGCAGCAATTTAACATCCCAAACTCAAAAGACCATAAAATTGAGACCATAAGAATCCATAATGAGAACGTCAGTGCTAAGGTCACACGATGCTACATAACTTTTCCTGTCTGAGTTTTAATCGTCTCTGTTCTTATGTCAGATAATACTATCATCCCTTGAAACCCTTTACTCAAAGTATTTTATTTTTGAACCTCACACTGACTTAACCTTTAGATCTGGCCATTTTAAAAGAGAGTCATAAGAAAATGTGAAGTGATTTTGAATAAAGCTAACTGTTTAACTACCAAATAAAATGTTTACTTTTTGAAGATATTAGCTTTTTGATATAGATTTGCAAAATACAGTTGTTGGCATTCAGGAATAATGTGGTTGGTTTTGCTAAGTCCTGTTAAAACACAAAGAGAGAGGGAACTATGATCATTTCCCACCAGAGGTTTGTTTGTCCCAGCTCCTTGAACACATCGTTTCTCGGTGTATAAACTCACGCCACACTGTGTTTATTGCTGTTGTTTGTGCACTCCAATTTTCTCCTGTGCTTTTAACATCGAGTTAAATTAATACCTGATGCGCGGCAAAACTATGTTGCCACGTCGGCAGAAAGAATATGGACCTGGCTCGTGTAAAAATCCGAAATAGAAAGGCTTATTGAATGCATTTTTGATGGAAATTCCACCTCGCTGAGCATAACATGCTGATGCAGAGTTGGTAGGTTGCTGCCACACTGAGATACAGCCTGAGGAGTCGAAAATAAAAATAATAATACGTTTATTTAGTATAGCACCTTAAAATGAAGACCACAGAAACATGAATACAATAACAACACGAGGCCGTTATTAAGGTCAACATAAAAACAAAACACAGACCGTCACCACGTAGAGTCCCGAAAGGAACAAACATGAGAACAGAACACATCACACACATGTCAAGTTGAAACAAAAGCCAATGTAAAAAGAATGGTCTTCAGTTGTTTTTTAAAAGCTTCTACAGAAGGTGCATCTCACTTCGGTTAAATGTATTCCTTGCGTCCCTCACTTGCGTGGTTTCCCTGCGACTAGTCCCTCCCACCAGGGAAGCATGGAGAGACGCAAGGAAACCACGAGAAGCAGGGAAATGAGTTTTAAGAGCAATGGGACGTCGTTTCCTCCGGAGCGTCACGTGAAGCGACGTCCGTTTGTGATGACGCCGCACAGCTGATCGTCTGACAGCAGCCAGATCAGTGCATGCGCTGCATCGTCCAATCAGTGAGCGATACACAGTAAGGGGGCGGGGCGAGTGTCTGAGGATTTCACCGGAGGATGGTCTGGTAGTTCCTCGATTATCGCTCCTCCGTTATCGCTCCTCGATCCTCGATCCTCGATCTTCCGGCACAAACAAGGCCACTGGGACGCTACTCAAGATGGCGCAGACAAATCAACTTCCGGTGGTACCGAGCCCGAGGAGCGAGGAAATGAAAAATAAGAGAAGTGAGACGCACCCAGAGACTGCAGAGCGGATGTCTTTAGGGAGAGACTTCCAT